CCACCCCCTCCCCTCTCGCTACCCGCTGACCCCCGCTCCCTCCCCGCGGGCCCGCTTTGGGGTATGGCCGTTGACCTCAGAGAGCGCAGCACTGTGCCAAATTTCCCAACTCCCCGGTTTGACTCCCCGCCGCCGCTCGGCCGCAGCTACTCCTTGGGGACGGCGGCGTAAGGGTGGGGCGCTGCAGGGGGAGGAGGGAGGCCGGCTGCCGAAAGGAAGCACTTCATCAGCGTAACGCCATAGCCGGGGCCCAGGGCCGGCCCAGGCTCAGCAAACGCGACTCACCTGAAGGTCAGCACGGTGAGGGGCCGGTAGCTCTTGTGCGAGTGCGGGTCCGCCATGCTGGTGCCCCAGAAGTCGTTGGCGAGGAGGCCGTGGAGCGGCGTGAGCCCGAGCACGTCCCGGTTGCGCACCACGGCGGGGACGTCATCGTGCACGAACTCGCCGTGGAGGCCGTTGGCGTAGCAGCCCAGGGCGAGCGTGGCCACGCCCGCGTACGCGGCCAGCGGGCCGTGCCAGGACGAGGCCGACGACGATGAGGACGACGATGACGACCCAGAGGACGAGGAGGACGACGACGACCCCGAGGAGGAGGTCGCCGTCCTACGGTGGCCCATTCTATGGCGGTGCCTCATTCCCACATATCGCGGTGGTGTTCCCAGTGCAGAACACCCGAGGAACACCCAGGGACACCTCGGCTCTCACATGGGGCGGAGCCTGCAACAAAAACAACAGAGACAGGGTGAGTAAAAGTGCAAGGGTGGGGTGGCTAGGGCGGGGAGTAACAACGATGGTGCAGCCCCTCCCAGGCCAGGGAGGCCTAATCCAGGAACTGAGCGCTAACTAACTTGACAACGAGATAGGCCCAGGATATTTTGAGGGCGCTTTTTTCAGTACAGTAGGAGAAAAGAGGGGGGCTAAAAGGGGAGGAAGAGAGAGGGAGAGGGGAAGGGAGAGGGGGGGGAGAGGGAGAGACTAGAGAGGTGTAAGGAGAGTGGCAGAACGAGAAGGTCCTTCTCCCGGGCGGCCACCCACCCTTCTCGTGAGAAGAATCGGGAAGTGAGTTGGGTAAGGGAGGTTGCCGTGCTTTCCGATCCACGCGGTGGCGCGGCGGCGTTCGAGTAGAAGGGCGGGGGCCGGAGAGAGATAGTGAGACAGGGGAGAGAAAGAAAGAGAGGGAGGGGAGAAGAGGAGGCCAGGCGCAGTAAGAGAGAGTGGATGGTAGTCTCTTGGCAACAGCACCAGCCCGTTCAGACTTAATGCCGACCTCACGATGAGGTCCTGACGAAAACAAATTACTGATCCCATGCATAAAGGACGCTGTCCTCCACGCTGCCTGCTCGGCCTGGCCGCCGGGCTCGCCCCCACCCGCCTGCCAGCTCCGCCTTCCCGCCCGGCCTCGAATCCACAAAATTCACCGTGGGGAGATGAAAATTTAACTGGGCAGCGCGCGGGGCGTCCTACAGGGCGGGGCGGGGCGCGGCGGCAGGGGTGCACGGGCTGAGAGCACAGTGCTGGGGTGATGTGCTTTGAATAATTCCAGCCAACCAGCCTGGTCGAGCCGCGCCCGCCGCCTGCCAACCAGCCTTGCCTGCCCCGATGCTATAAGCCGCGCGATGCAGAGCGTGGCCGGGCGTGGCGTGGCGGGGCGGGGCGGAGCGTGGCGCTACCGAAGGCGGCCGCGCGGCAGGAACCGTGAGGGAAGGAAAAGGAGAGAGACGACTCCCCTTAACATTGATTGCTGGGCCGGCGTGTTTAGTGTTAAACATCTATCTATTCGCCGTGTTTGGGACCGCCTCCCCCCCCCCCTCTTCCTTGTTGACGTAGGCTCGACGACGGTGCGCTTGTGCGCCGCAGAACCACAGAAAAAGCGTTTCGGCGTCGGAATTTATTCAGACGCGAGCACGACAAGAATAGCGCGCGACTGGCAGCCTTTCTCAGACAAAGACGAGAGTTTACAGTGCCTTTCTCTCAAATTTAACAATCCCTTGCTGCGCCGCAGAAAAAACCATTTCGACAAAATCGACGGCTCGTGAAAACAAATCACCTCCTGAAAGAATTCGCTTACAATTTTGAACACAGGCGCCACGCGCAACTGGGCCAACGTTTCCCATAGTGTCGCGTCGACAAGCG